GAAATTAATAATTAAAATTATAATTAAAATTAAACTTACAACATTCCATTCATTCATTCATTCATATTTTTGTAATTTATTTTGAAAAAAGCAATTCATAAATCTTAAAAGGAAGAAAATTGTTATCATCTTCGAATTTTTTTTTTTATTTTATTTTTTTTCAAATTATTTCTTTTGATGAAACAAATTTTACAATATTATGCATTCTATTAGAATTTTACAACAGTTTCGCTTATTTTTTAAATTATTTCTCTTAATCTTAATGAAACAAAATTTTACAATAGTTATAAGAAATGTTACTGTTTTAAGTAAATTTTCATTTACTCATTTTGATGTAAGTGCAAAATAAACAGACGGTTTCACTATCAATTTCTACTTTTATCATATCACTAGTATCATTCCTAATAACTTATCATGTATCATTATATATTTCAGTTACTTGTATTCATCTCAGTGGTATTAATTTTTACCGCACCAGGTGTTTGCTATACACGATATATGAATGATATTCGAGCTACTGATGAAATTTGCCCGAGTGAAAATTTCCTACCAATGGGTATCAACCGATGGGGTAATGGTGTACATTTTCAACATCGTGGACAAAAGTATTAATTCTCTTTCAATTCTCATTCATTTGTGAAATTTTATTAAAATGAAAAACTTTTCGAAAAAAACTTTTCTTTTTTTTGCTCTAAAATTAAACTAAATTATAATTCGTAACATTCATTAGCAAAAGTAAAAAAAAATCTTCATATATTCACAATTCTATATTTCTCACCATCTTGATCTGTTCCTGATTCTCGATCTGATTTATCACAAAAGCTATCACTGAGTGAAATACCTTTTGTAGCATAGCTGCTTTAAAGAAGGAATGAAACTGAAGTGAAAATAACCTGAATTTTATTAATGTATTATTTACATAGCAAAAATTTATCTGTATATCATGTGCAACTATGTGATTATCAGTTCAACAAAATGCTGTCGTACTATGATAGTCTATCTGGATCCGGTTTTATCGATGAACGTATCATAAAGATCATAACATTTTCCTCCGGAAATCTTATGAACATGAAGATGGCATGTCCAGAACGAAAGTGTTCCTAATTACTAGCAGCTGTAATTAAACAATAACAATATCATTTAGTAAATAAGATTTTACAAACAAAAAATCCATCTGTGTCAACACTGATAGCTGAAGACATTGCTAATGTGGCATGTATCCGGAACATAATCCGGATAGTGTTGACAATGCTTTAAATTTGCTTTTAAATTATTGAAACGGAACTAATCAGTGGTTGAAACGGAACTACCATCATACTCAATTTCGTTATTTTTATTTCTTTACATGTAGGCTTGAGGGAACTAATTTTCCAGACATTTGAAATTTTAAACAATGAATGCTCCATATGTCCGGAAAACTATTTCTCTTGCTATGCACCGGATTAGTCTGTTTTCTAATATTTACTAACTTATGGGATCATTTTTACTTGTTCAAATTTATCCAACTATATCTAATAGTTGAACTAACAATTAAAAAAAAGTAGGATATAAATGTAAAAAAAAAAAAAACCAAAAAATAAAGTTTGAATTAAAATTGTTATTTAATTTTTTGAAAAGCCAGAAACAATCTTGATAAACAGCGTTAAATTTGAATAAATTCTCGAACTATTATTTTGTGCAAAATTGAAATACACTGATGATGAATGATTGAATTTTCTTTAAAAAAACCATTTATTATAAAAATCCATGAAATATTCCTGTTTAAACTAAAAAATTTGTTCTGATTTTTCTCATATTTTCTCCTTTATCATTTTGCACACTTAGTTTTACCTACACATTGTTTTTTTTTTTTTGACAATTATCTGAAATTTTCAAAAGAAAAGCAATCTTAATGTTTTATGATTAAAACTTAATGCTTGAAGCTTATCATTCAAAAAATTCGTCTGATTAGCTTATCAGTGATTAGCCTATCATTTTACAGCCCTATTGTTAATTTTGTTTAAATATTTAAATAAATAAATGTTGCAGTGTTTGGGGTCAATTAGCAATTGTCATAATTGCAGTATTATTTGCTTTACCACCGCTTGGATTAAGTTGCTTCCAAATTACTACCGGTATTTCCCTATTTTACGTGGTTAGTTTTTCTTTTTTACAAATAAAATCCTAATATTATTTTATCAAAAACGCGCAAATGTCGTTTTTATTGTATTTCAAACATAAAAGAAATTACATTTGAGCAATAGTTTGAACAATAAACAATTAGCTAAGCTTATAATGTTAATGATTATTGAGATTATCACTAGTATTTTTGATAACAAAATGTTTGCATTTATTTTCATTTAAAAGAAACCTTACAAGTAACTTTGATTTTTATTGGATTATTTCATTTCAATTCGAAATAATTAATCTGTTTCAGTGTGAAAAAATTTTAATTAGGAAAAATCATCAGAATGATAGTTTGTTTATGAGTTAAATTGCATATATTGCAGTATAGTATAGCATTTGTTATGTCTATTTTCAACGAAAAAATTTTTGTTTATTTATTGATGTAAATATTTCCATAATTTTTGTTTACATATATCAGATGATTAATGATTATGGATGCTTCTCTCACTCTTGAAATTATTAAACAGGTGTACAACTCTATAATAAAGTAATGGTGACAGATTATTGTCATTTATAATTAGCATCATTATAATTACTATGCGTTTTTTTTTTTTTTTATTTTTAAATAGGGATAAAGTGAAATTTAATTTTGTAGCAAGTATGTTTTTCGATGATATCAATATTGATATTTCTGGCTCTTGGAGGTGTTGAGACATGGTATGCAACCGGTTACAGTCATATGGGAATATTAATTAGACAAATTGGTGGTGGCCAATTCAGTGGTTGTATGAATGTACCAAATTGTGATATATTATTCGTAGTTAAGGGATGGGCAGCTGCTGCGGTTTGCAAAAATTTTACAATAATTTATTATTAAATATTATTTGTATTATTTTGAAAAAAAAAAATTTTTTTTTTCGAAAATTTAAATTTAAATTTATGAAGTTTAAGACAATTTACGGAGAAATTTATTAATAATATTAACATTGATTTGTCTTAAATCTCTTGATAAAAATAATAAATTAAGTGTTTTGTTATGTATAAATACTCCATTCCAATTTAAAGGTATAATTTTCAAAAATTAAATTGTTTTTTTTTTTCTCCTCTCTCTCTGATAATATTCGAAATGCAAAAGTAATCAAACTGCGATAATAATTAGATGTATAGTAGATTAAAATTATAGAATTATCCAGGTGTTATATGTTTTACTTATTATTGAAATTAACTTTTTTTTTTTTTAAATTTTTGTTATAATTTCAGGCTTTCTTATTCTTATGTGCTATTCTTTTCCTTGTGGATATTGGAATGCAATTTCTTCTTAGAGACAAGTAAAACTTTTCTGTATTCTGTGAAGAGCTGATTGGACTCAAATTTGCTGATCGATCATTGTTTCATGAGAGTTTCAGTTAACGTAAATTTTTTTTTTTAGAATCTTTTCTTTTAGATTCTATTCATGTAAGTTTCCTTCTTTCTTTTTTAAATCTAATACAGTTATACTATTCATTTGTAGATATTCACAAACATATACGACACCAATGTCATCTCGTGCATCATACGGTCCACCGCAATCAAATCCTATTGATAGTTATCGCACAAGAATACATGTCGGAAGTAACTTTTATGCATTTCTTTTTTTATTATTATTTTTTTTTCTATTTAAATTACTTCATCGGGAAATATTAAATTTACAAAAGATTGAATAGTAGAGGGTTTTTTTTTCTTTTTGTTTAAGTTTTTTTTTTTACAAAAATCAACTTATAATTTCAAATGATGCGAAAAGTACTATTATATTTTCATGAAAGTCTTAAATTGAAATGCAAGTTTGAACTTTTACTTTTTGAACTTTTAATATTATAAGTGATTACTTTTACTTTTTGAACTTTTAATATTATGAGTGATTACTTTTACTTTTTGAACTTTTAATATTATAAGTGATTACTTGTGCAATGTAAATAAATTTCGCACAAATATTGCAGATTGATCTGGAAAATATACTGCTGAAATGCTATATGATATCACTAATGCTCTATCCTTGTTTTAGGACTTTTGACATAATGAAAATAATTTTTTTTTTTTTAATAATTAATTTGCATTATTATATTTTGCTTTATTTTTGCTTTAAGCTTTAAAATTTAAATTAATGTCAAAAGATATTATCAAAATTGTTGTCACATTTTCAACATTTTTTCATGCTCTTTAGCAGTGTAACATTTGTATGATTTGCAATAGTTTTGAAAATTTTTTAAGAAAAGATTATTTCACTTGCTAAATCAGAAAATCAGGGATTGAAAATTTGTTGACATTAATGAATTTGACATTTGTTTAAAGATTAATTTCAGAATTATATTACTGATGTGAAATAATACATAAAGGAAATAATTTGTTCGTTCATATATTAATTAATTAATATGTTTTTACTTTTTTTTTCCTATTGCCTTTTCTTTTCTGTTTTCATTAATGTATGAAATAAATGGCCTAGTATGAATTTGTAGTCCAAGAATTTGTCCAAAATTTGCAAAGTAAAAGATTCATTTCAAAAGTTAGAAAAAAAAAGAAAGGCTTTCTATAGCTTAACATCTTTTTACTAATTGAATTAAAACAGGAATGTTTTTCTCTCTTTCATCTTTTTTTATAAAAAAAAAAATTGATCATACTTTTCTAGCTTTAGATAGAATTTTAATTTTTTCATAAAATTTATCAATTCTTAAAATAAATTTTTGTAATAAATTATCCACAAAAATGTTTGCTCAACAAAAATCTATGAAATAATCAAATAACAAATTTCGATCATTTCTTTTCAAATTATAAATTATGAAAAGTGTAACAAATGTTTATTTTAAATGTACTTAAATACATTCATCATTTGCAAGCAATTTTAAATCATTTTTAAATGATTAGTAGTCTTCCTCACTTTCCAATTGCTCTTTCTTTCTTGCTCTTGCAATTTCAGCATTAATATGCACTTTAAATTTGCGAATAAATCGTGGTAAATCATAGCTAAAACAAATGTAAACAATATTTTATAAGATAATCTGTAAACATAGTATATAATTTATTTATTTATATATGAAATTTTCTTTAGTGAAAAAATTTTTTGACAATAAAATTAAAAGTGAAAATTTTTAATGTAAATAACCTGAAATCGGTATCAATTACGATAGCATGATCGATGTAACTTAATGATGGTCTTTCCAGTTCAACACCACACATCACCGGTAGCTTAATACCTAAAATCAACATTGTTAACAAAAAATATTAGCCTAAAATTAAATTGGAATAGCTATAAAATTATGACTAAAATTTAAATGAATATAGTAAAATTCCTTTTAAAATATGTAGAATTAAAATTAATTTTAAAAATTTTTCACTTCACCTCGTTGATTGAATGCAAAACGTAAACGTTTCTTTATTTTTGGCCAAAGTTTCTTCGGTACCACACTATTCAATGCTTTACGAATTGTATTCGCAAATATTCCACCGATTCCCATATAAAAATAAGTTATTGCCAATATTAATTTAAAATAGCAATTTAAAATAAGTGAAAATGATTTAAATAAAAATTGAAATTTATCGCTGAATTAATTTTTCTGTGAAAAAAAGAAAAGAAAAGAGCATACCCCTTTTATCTTAATGTCCACTCCAGTTAATGCGACATCACCATATAAGCGACTATGTCTAAGATATGGGCGAACCTTAATATTTTATTAAGTAATTTGTTCTTACATAGAAATTAAAGATTAAATCAAATTTGTACTCTGTCAAACGATGGATGCTTTGACTCAAATAAGTAATTATTACTGATAGAATGACCTATTAAATCAACCTGACCCATAAAATTGATTAAATTTAGTATCACTACGATATAAATATAGGTAAATTGGGATTATTTCTCATAAAATATCGAAAATTGTAGCACTTTTGCATATTTTACTTGTAGTGATACTAAATTCAAATCAAATACTTTCTAATTTAAATTTTAAAATAGATTAACTTACTGTCACATCAAGTTCTGCATTTGCATCAACAATATTATGTCTTCGTGATTTGCCAACAAATAAAATTAACAAATCAATTTGAATATCAATTTTAACACCTTGTTCACTGATAACAAGATGTGGTCGTCTGGAATAGCTTGTGAATTTGTCATATTCGTGCTATTATGGAATTAAAATTTTTTTAAATTTCATTTCATTAATTAAATGAAAGACCATAAATATTGTTACTATTGGAAATAAGCATTTCAAAATCACACAAAAATCAAGAATTAATCAGTAAAAACTTCTCATTATTATTTAATCTTTGAAATAATTAATTTCAAAATGAAAAATTATCTCACCTCGTTTGATTAGCAATAAATTGAAGTTCACAACGAGCACACAATAACTTAGCTATTGGTTTTATGAATTTTGGTAAGTTATGAGTACGAAATTTTTCACGTAACACTCCCATATCTTTGTCGTAAATATGTGCAAAAAACGTGTTTGGTACGTATTCACTGATAATCACACCAAACATCTAAAAAAAAAAAATATGATCAAGAGATCATATAGTAGTGAAAACCGAAAATATCAGAACCGAAAGTTTAATTTACTGATCAGATTGTGATAGATGAAAAGATTTATTCACAAATCACAAATGTCCTTCATGTTTTCTAATTAATTGTGAGAAAATTTCAATTCATATTTCGATAAATGTACAATTAACAAACCTTATCACCAAAAGCTGATATATTGAGCATATTTGGCCGAGCAACATTCTTTGCCCTTTGGCCAAAAAATATGATACCTGCATCGAGCCCAAATATTACATCCTGTCATAAACAAAAATTCATGTATATTAGCATATTGTCTTAATTTTTTAACTGTCTCATATTGTGTTCTTAGTATTACTTATTGCTAATATTTTATGCCATTCAGTAGTTTCCGTATTTCGAAAAAACCGGAAAAATGATAGTTCCATTAAAAGAACGAATAAAAAATGTTTAAAAAAAAAAATTAAGAATGCTTTACCTCATTTGAGAACTTTGGTGAATACATCAATGTCAAATCAGGTGCCCAAAGACCATCTTTCAATAATGGATTAAAACGTTCACTTTCAGGTGTTGTTCCAAAATACAGGTTACGTTTATTCCGTAAGTAAATCATATCACCGGAATATTTCAATACATTCATATCATCTAATCGATCATCAGCACATAAATCAACTGCAAATTTTGCTGCCAAATCTTCGTCATTTTCCATCTACAAAGATGCAAGCATTTTTGACATTTGATTTTTGATTTTGTTCCAATTACAGTACCATCATAAACGATACCTGTTTTAACTGCTAAACTAATACTATTAACAATTTAAAAATTCATTTTTTAAAACTATTTAAATCTCAAATATAATATATAATTGTTAATTAAATATATAGAATCTTGAATGATTGCAATAATTGATAGAAATTTTGTAAAAAATAATGCTAGCATTTATGATTAGTAGTACCTTTTCATTAGACGTTTCATAAAAGGCATTTTCATTTTCAGCACTTTGTATTGATTTCATATCCATTAGTTGACGTGATTCACCGAAGTATAATAAGTGTGTGGGCGTTGGCGTAGGTGACGTTGACTGTGGGATTGGCGTAGTCATCAGTATCTTAATTTAAAGAAATTGTATAACTAACTATATAAGCTATATTTAGAAAAAAAAAGAAAATTCTCCAAAATGCAATAAAAATACCTGTTGCTTTTGTTGCTCGAAGAATTGTCCTATTTTGATGGCAAGTTGACAAAGTTCATTCCCGAGAACATCAGTGACTGCTTGCTCAATTACTGACCTATAAATAAATGATAATATTTGAGCAAAGTCAATAATTATTAACTCAGATATACTTCTAGTGCTTTTTGTTTTCAGAATAAAATTAATCGTAAAATTGCTATTAAATAATTAAAAAAAATTAGCTAACTACAAAGAAGCTAAACTGTAAATTGCATACCTCAATAAGTTTAAATAGGTTGACATGTCACCTGCAAAAACGATTCTTACAAGATCAGATGTGACATTGCATACTGGAGTCTAGAAAGAAGAAAAAATAATTAGTAAGTAAAAAGTAAGAAAGGACAAAAAAGCGTCACAGTAGAAAAAAAGAATCGAATAAAAATTTTGATGAATATAAAATGTACTTGTCGATTAATGTCAAATAATAGCTAATATGACAAAATTATTAAAAGATAAAAGATTGATTGATATTTCTGACTAGCTTAAATTAAATTAATTCAAGATAGCTTAAATTAAATTAATTCATGATATATTAAATAAGTTCCATGATGAATTAACTCCTTAAAGTAGTCAATGCTATCCAGAATCATACTATAATTTAGTAAAAAATAAAAATAAACAGTTAACCTCAATAATATTCAATTTTTCGCTTTCATTTCGGCTAATATGTACTTCTATTGTGACACTTAAATTTTGCACATCAGCTTTTAATTTTCCTTTGTATGTGCTAAAAAACGTGGAAGCGTCGTAAAATGCGTTAAGCATCACGTGAGGTAAGAATACATACGCTTCAATACCTGTAAAGTTTTCATTTTTTTTTTATAATTTTGATAAATAAAAGATGAAATTTTGAGAGAGATAAAATGAAATTTACTAAGTAAACAAAAGGAATGTTTAAGAGATACATTATGTGAAGTATACTTTATACAACAAAACTACTAAATAAGAATATTGCAGAGAATTAAATATTTATTGTGATTTTTTTTTTTTTTTTTATAAATTATAGTATATCCACTGCTGGAGTAAATAATTCATCATTTTGGATTTTTTTCGGTTTCTTAAATTTAATTAAATTTCAATTTCTTTGTTAGGAAATGATATCTTGGTTAAATTTAGTTCTACAAAATTCTCAAATCATTCTAAGCGTTAACCGTTAAGTATTTCGAATAGGCTAAAAATAAATCTTTTTTATAAATTATAGCATATCCATTTCTGATAGCAAAAAAATTTAGAGGAAAAGTTTGCAGTAAATTTTAACCAAGTTCATAGATGAAACGAATATTACTCACCAATATTTGCAACAAATTTAGCTTTTATTGTTGGATTACTAAATTTATCGATAGTTAAATGTGAAATTTTAATTTGTGGATTTTCAATAGTTGGCATTTCGGATTTTTCAAGCAATTGTGGTAAAGCTTCAGCAGTTAAACTTGTGATATAATCCACACCCTAAAAAAAAAAATATTCAGAAATTCAGCTTCAATAAGTAGCTTTACTTCAAACTATGCTAATTTAAATTCAAACTATGTCAATTCAAGCTAATTCAAATTAAGAAATGGATGGAATAACAATGTTATTTCATGATATTATGATGACATTGTCATTTCAGTCAATCACAAAAGTTCAACAAATAAAATATTAATTCCATCCAACAATTCCAGTTAAAATTTAAATATGGAATTACTGATATTTATAATATTAAAATATTTGAAGTCAAACCTTTTGACTAATTCTAAAATATATTCCAGCTGGGATGCCTGTAAAAATAGTTTCCTGTAATTGTAGATTCTTTGATTCAGTATTAAGCAGAACTGGAATTCCGACACTTGTATTTTGTTGATAGCTATCAGATAATGATATATTGTATTGAATATCGATTATAGGTATATCTGTTGACAGTTCCAATTTGATTGCTTCGCCAATTTCAATGACAATAATCAGTAGAAAGTAATATTTATAATTCATCATAGTATTGCTAGAAGATAGAAGAAATTATTGTTTATTGTTAAATTATTATTATTGTTATTGTTAAAAGTATTAAATGATAAAATGTTAATTATCTAAAATTAATGCAACTTAACAATTTACATATTATCGATTAATTAAATTGTTATGAGTAAATAGTAAATAATTCATATTGTATGAGAAAAAAATAAGAGTAAATTAATTGTAAGAGAGTTTAAATAGTTTAAAATGATAATAAGTGAAGCAAGCAGCTGTGATAATGAACGGGCGGGAAGTGAAGGTCAGTTAGATGAACAGGTGACGCTTTAGTAGACTTTAAAGAAGTGCTGCCGATAAAATTGAAAAATTCATTAGCCATGAATGTTTCATTTGTTATAAACTTTTTTTAAATTATATATCTTACCTGATATTTTCTTTAGTAAAACTGTAACAATCATTACTCATCCAAAGATTTCAATTTGAAAAAAAAAAAGAAAACTTAAACATAATTCTTGACTAATTGAGATAGCTTTTGACAAATATGTAAAATTAAAATTGAAATAATTTTTGAGCAATCAAATATTTACCTGAATGTGTATGTATTTAAAATAGCAATCTTTTAGCTTCATAAAAAAGTTAAATAAAATATGATAAAGCGGAAAAAAAAATCGAAGATAACCAAAAGTTAGATTTCGAATTAATCCTAAAATAATGTTTACAAAAGCAAAAGTCTAAGCTTAATCGTATTATTATGCATAACTTATTCTAAGGAAATATTTACCCCCTAATTATTGCTAACTAAAAGTAATAATTAGGTAATAAAGCTTTTTTTTTAAAGTAATAAAACTTTTAATTAGCCTAATTTTTTTACATGACAAATTCAATCATTTTGCCATTTTTGAATTTTAGCAACAATAAATTAACCTAACTCATTTATTTTATTTTCATTGCAATTTGCTCAAATGTTACTAAACAAAATTTGCTGTGAAAAAGTTTGTAATGAAATAACTAATCAAAATATAAGGATCTAGTATTAAAATAACCTTTTTTTTGGCTAGATGTAATCTTTACATCTTTTTGATCATAGAAAGTAACTCTGAAAGTAACTCGAGTAACTCGAGAACTCGTCAATTGTGCTTGAAATTAACAATTGTAATTGGCAATGAACGAAGAATACAACTGATAAAAAACTTATCATTGATAAAAAGATTAGCTTCGACTTATCACTGATAAAAATTAGCTTCGATTTATCATTGATAAAAAAATTAGTTTCGATGATATTAGCAATTCTTATTGATAAATAATAAAAATATCATAACTCCTTGTATCTTTTTGATAAAAAGCGCATATAACCATTTTTACATTTACCTACTACTACTTATCACATCAAATAAATCCAATTCAAAAAAAAAAATTTAACTTTATTATCAAATTTTATATCACATTTCATCTTTTCTACCAATCTTTCTTGTTATTTCTGCTATCTGAGTGAAAATATGATTAGTAATTTAACAAAAATTACAATATTTATTAATGTTTATGATTGATAAAATCTTTTTTTTTTAAATAAATTAAATAATTTTAGTTGAATACGCCTAAATGATTTATTCATTGTTACCTTTCTCGATTTAATCACATTCAATTTTACTTCTTTTAATTCAATTCGATGTCTTTCAGTAGTTAATTAAACGTTTTTGTTTAAAATTTAGTAAGAAATAAAGGGAAGAATGAACAAATTAGCAATGAAAATAAATAATTCTAAATATCAAATGGAGAAATTTGAATGATAATGAGAAAGCGAGAATGCATGTAAATGATTTTTTATAGGATTAAACATTAAAAATTTTTATGTGACATTTGGATTTCAATTAAATTTAATTTTTTTTTTCACAGTTAAAGACATTCTTTCCTATCCAATTCACAGCTATTTCACTAACCTACAAGTAAATTCCATCATTTTCATTTTAGTTCTATAAAGAAGTCATAAAGAAGCATTTCAATAAATTTCAAATTAAAGAGATCAGAGATCAAATTCATTTTTAATTACTCAAAACTTCAAACCTTATTTGGTATTGTTTACCGCGGCTGAGTGGTCTAGTGGTATGATTCTCGCTTTGGGTGCGAGAGGTCCCGGTTTCGATCACCGGCTCAGCCCACCTGCTATTTTAGAATTAATAACTTCTACAATTGCTTTTTACAATTTTGAGCCAAATACATTACTTTGGAAAATGGATACATTCAAATAACGAAATATCAGATAAAATGCAATCCCATTTTGCTTTTTTACAGTATTTCCTTGCCGGATCTTTTCCGGATGACAATTTCAAGTTTTACGCAATTTTAGACGCAAGCACTAAATGATGCTGCACATGAGAACGTTGTAAATCATTGTTTTCTCCTATTGCTTTATTGCTCATATCACAAACTTTTGTCGCTTTCTTTTCATGCAAACTTCGTCACTACACATAAAACCTCAGCAGATGATTAAATTTCTTGCATGTGATGGTAGTTAGATTTGGAAAGTGTTAAATGATCCCAATTTGTGGCATTCATTTTGACGTGGATCTTTTATGATATATAGATTTTGTGCAATACTATAATATATGTGTATACAGGAGTTCAAAAAGTAGCTAATGTTCGAATTCTCGAGAATTCTCGATAATCGAAAAAAATAGCATTGTTGATCGATTGACTGTGAAAAGATGGTTTGAAGTGAATTCTTCCGAGCGATTTGATACATTAGTGAATCTCTTTTATAAAGTAAAAATATGAGAGTAATGTGGAGTGTTGTCTGAGATATGCTAAAATTTAAACTGTCTCTTCTTTATTGAATAATAAATTCCAGTTAACATCGAATGGGTAAAAAATACCTGCGAAGGTATTTCACATTTGCTTTCCATATCAAATGATTGAATTTTATCTAATTTATAAGTGAGGCGCACAATGATTGCGCAAATTTCTCATTTACTCTTTCTTCATTCTCTTCAAATTTCTATTCATAGTTCAACAGAGAAACTATTAGTAAAACATTGAATTTGATAGCAATAGAAAATGATCCAAAAAAAAAAAAAAAAAAATGAACCATTTTTATTACTTTTAGACCTATTAGGTTCTCATTCTTTCCATGAGTAGAACAATGATCTGATTGTTTTATTGATTTCTTAAAAAAGTTTCAATCATAGCTATAACATCCTGAAAAGATTACTTATGAATATCTTTTTTTAAAATAGTTTTAAAGGTTTATTTTTTTTTTTTGTTTTATTAAACATTTATATGTTGCTCGCAACTATCTTTTAATTGACTCTCATTTTGCTGCAAAACTAGGATTGATTAACCTAATTACAAATTATGAAAATATATTTTGCTTTATAGATTAAATATCACAGAATTAAATTATATATTCAGAAAGAGAGATGAAATTCTTCTAAACTACTTTCGATTGAAATATTAACTAAAGAAATGTTTATTTTTTGAACTAAATCAGTCAAATCTGAATTCTTTACTTAGCATAAACGAATAATTTTTTCATATTTTTATTGTTCAGAATTCTTCCTGAATGAATTTGATAAAATTGAAGTTAGATTTAAAAAGTTGTATCTGAAACTGATGATATCTAATGGTGAAACTGTTGGTGAAACTGTTTGGATGCAAATTCAGCATGATTTCTAATTTTATTAAAATACATTGATAATATATAAGATAATATTTGAAATTATAAAAAGAATCACAACAGGAAATGTAAATAAAATAGTTATAACATTAAGAAATAACAGAGAAATATATCAAAATTTACAGAATGGAAAAAAAATGATACAAATACGAAATATATAAATTCAAAATACATATTTCTTTGTTAAGAGCAGCTCTACTGATAAGGTTTCTTGTTCGGTTAGATCAAAGAGAAAACAAAAATTGCTCGAAATTTGAATTATATTATATAACGATATTTGAATTAAAAAAAAATGCTATTAAACAAGTGAGAAGATTAATGAATTATATAATTATGACAAGAATTTGTTGGACTAATTAAATTCAAAATAATAAAGAAATAGGAAGATTTTATGTTATTATCATAAATTTCTTCTTAAATTTTAAATTATTTTTACTACAATATATCAAATTTTAAGATAATTTTAATAATTATCATTAATTAACTGAAGAAATCTTTGTTTTGTTTATCTTTTGCTTTGATGAAACTTTTGTTACATTAAAGTTATATGGATGAATAGTGGTAGTAGTGGTAGGATTAGTTGGAGTGGCAGTAGTTTTAAAATAAGATTTTATAAATTGTTGTTCCACTTGAATAGCTTCTCGATCAGCAGCTCGAACATCATAACGATGATTGCGATGATATACTGTACTCCATAACATATCATGAATTTTTGTCCTATAAAATACAAATTTTCTGCATGTCATTCAATTTCAATAATAATAATAATAATAATAATAATAATAATAATAATAATAATAATAACGATAACAATAATAATAATAACAATAATACTAATTAATAATTTCAAATCAGATGAAACATTTAACATTGTTAAATTTAAAATTATTAAATTAAAACAATTTAAATTCATAGAAAAAAGAAGCGAAATAATGAAAATGAAATTAACCAATAATGTGCATAATTTAACAATATTCATAAATTATCAAAATTAGGCTACATTTTTTTATACTTATCTTACAAAACTTTTATAAACTATTTTGCATCACTAATGATTATTATTTTGTGATTGCATTATTACATTCCTTTTTTTTTTTGCTTTTGCTTTTCTTAAATTATTACAAAAAAGAATGAAAAAAAGAAATTCAAAATTTATTACTATCTTTAAAAATGCAAAATTGTTATAAATAAACTGCTTTTATTTAAAAAAGCAAAAATAATAATATGTTTTATGTAATAGTTCATTCATACATATTCATATTAAAATAGATTAACAAATTTTGAAAAAAAAAAAATAATAATAAAGAAAACAAACTTCACTTCAAGTAAACTATTTCGCTTTCGTTTTCGT